AGTAATAATTCACACTCGTGCGAATTAACACGAGCGAAGTGGTTTCTCTCGTGTAAATTCACACGAGTGTTGCTAAGCTCGACGTTTTTCGTTTTTTTTTTTGGATTCGTAATCTACATAACAAGAGGATTGTAAAAACGTAAAAATTACCTCCGATCTGTTGACGATTTGCACGGGCTTTGCGAAAGAAAATCGAGAGGGTTGAGAGAGTTTTTTGAGATTTTTACCTTTTGGTTTTTGAGAAATGGTAAAAAATGTGCCTGAATGTTTAATTTATGCCTGCACAAATCATTTCAGCTCTCACATACACATAGAGACACACTTACAGAGGCTAACTATAAGATTAACTTTAATTCTTGTCCCTAAATTTGTGCTGAAAATATTTTTTTTTTATTTATTATTTTTTTTTTTTTGCAGTAAATTTGACACTTGTAATCATTCCGTGAAATTTACTCTTTCATTTTGCTTTTTGTTTTTTTCTTACATATTTTATTCATCTGTTCAATCTCGTCGTCCCCTAAAATCCAAACTCTTTATCCTTCGTTTTCATTCTAAATTTCTAACCCCCAAATGTATATCACAAACCCAAATCACGCAAATATGTAATAAAAAACAATATATACACACACACACATTGTTATGCTGGTGGTTATGATTCCGAGATGAATTACTGGCGGTGATGGAAATGAGGGTTAAGAAATGGAGGCCGTCAGATCGGAGAGGAGTACGGAAAGACCGCCGCCGCCGCCGCCGCCGCCGCAGATAATACACCGGACGAGGTTACAAGTGTGGTTCATTCGTGTCAGTTCCGCCATTTTAGTATGGACGTGTTTTGCTCAGCTCGTTGCTGTTGGGCAGCTCTGGCATCCTCCTTCCCTCATCAAATTTCTGGGTTTCACAAAAATCTCGGTTCTTGATTATGGATCTTTGTCCTTTTCTACGCCGCCGCCTGTTCCGGCCAGTGAGTTTTTATAGCTGCCATTGATGTTTGCAGAGGTTTTTTTTTAGATGGGATATTGTCGATTAGTTTTACTCTGTTTATTAATTATTAATTGATTTTGCTCTGCTTTGCTTTGCTGTGCTATATATGATATTAATTAAAAATAAATTATGATAAATTAGTCATTATTACAAGTGGAAGAGGAGAGAGAATTGCAATGTGGTGAACAAAAAATCAGTATGATGCTAGACTTGTAGTTGTCGAATTGTTCGTTTTTTTATATAAATTTCGACCGAATGTTATTTGAATTATTTTTTAGTGCTTGCGTTGGAGTATCTTGGTATGAGAATTAGGGTATTTCAATTCTAGATAATCGAACTATTGTAGGGAATTACACGAGCAATGGTTTTCTTGAAATATCTTGCAATGGCGGATTGAATCAAATGCGCTCCGCGGTTAGAATTTATTATCTACGTTTTTGTTTACCTACTCTCGAACTAATTAATTGTCTTTTCCATTTTACTAAATTATCCGCCTCTGATTTCAGATATGTGACATGGTGACTATTGCTCGTCTTTTAAATCTTACGCTTGTTGTCCCTAAGCTTGACAAGACATCATTCTGGGCTGATCCTAGGTATTTATTTATTACACTTCACGCACATGTCTGTTTTTGTACTTTAGAAAAGAAACTGAATGGTAAATAATAAATGACAGCGACTTCGAGGATATATTCGATGTGGGGCATTTCGTAAATTCACTAAGAAACGAAATTCGAATTATCAAGAGGTTGCCTAAGAGATTCAGAGCGAGATATGGTTATCTGCCACTTCAAATGGCTCCTATCAGCTGGTCAAACGAGCACTACTACTTACAACAGGTTCGTAATGAAAAACTCGTCTTTTTTTTTTTTTACCGTTTTGAAATATTAGTTGAATATTCGAACGCTTAGAGAAATGTGGGCCCCACAAAACTTGCAGATTCTGCCTCTCTTTCATAAACATAAAGTGATACACTTCAACAGAACAGATTCCAGGCTGGCGAACAACGGGATATCTTTGGATCTTCAAAGGCTGAGATGCCGTGTGAATTTTCAGGCGTTGAAATTCACACCGAAAATCGAGGCATTAGGGAATAAATTGATTCGTAACCTTCAAGAAAAGGGTCCCTTTTTAGGGTTGCATTTGAGATACGAGATGGACATGTTGGCTTTCTCGGGTTGTACTCATGGATGCACTGAGCGAGAAACAGAGGAGCTCAAACAACTGAGGTTGTGATTAAATTGATTGAAGCATTTTTTTCAATAATTAAAAGATGAAATTTTGCGATATTATTTTTTATTTTTTACCTTTTTCGTGTTTGTGGCGGGCAGGTATGCGTTTCCTTGGTGGAGAGAGAAAGAGATTGTATCGGAAGAGAAGAGATCTCAAGGGCTATGCCCACTTACACCCGAAGAAACGGCTTTGATTTTGCATGCATTAGGTTTTGAATTTCGATAAAGAGATGCAGATATATATTGCTTCTGGTGAGATTTATGGCAGTGAAAGAAGACTTGCATCTCTTAGAGCTCTCTTTCCAAGAATCGTCAGTCATCTCTCTCTCTCTCTCTCTCTCTCTCTCTCACACACACACACACACACACACACACACACACACACACACACTATAATCGGGCGTTTCTCATAAAAAAATCCAGGTGAAAAAGGAAATGCTACTTAGTCCTGAAGATTTACGACAGTTTCAGAATCATTCGTCTCAAATGGCAGCACTCGATTTTTTCGTATCAATCGCAAGTAAGGTTTTTGTTCCCACTTATGACGGGAATATGGCAAGGGTTGTCGAAGGCCATCGTAGGTACTTTTTTGAAGTAGTATACATACACATATACATATACATACATATAAAAAAATCGTCTGAAAATAAACATTAAAACAAAAAAGAAACATAAAAAAATGTTTGTTTTGCATGTAGGTATCTTGGGTATAAAAGAACATATCAATTGGACAGAAAAAGGCTTGTGGAGTTGTTGGATTTACATTCAAATGGAAGTTTATCATGGGCTGAGTTCTCATCTTCCGTGAGGCGGGCCCACGTGACGAGGATGGGACAGCCGAGTAAACGTAGGGTTATTTTAGACAAGCCGAAAGAAGAAGATTATTTCTACTCAAATCCTCAAGAATGTCTAACTAACACTAGCAACGTGACCAATGTGTATTGACAATTAGACCCCCGGAACCAAAGTGTATTGACAATTATACCCCCGGAACAAGATTTCCATCGCCCTCCCTGCCTGCGTATCGAGACTCGAAGAATAGCTTGGCAAAGAGTACGATTTTTTTCTTTTCTTTTCTTTTTAAATTGTCTTGATTTGTTATGTTCATACATAGATTAGAATGCTACCACGAAACGGAGAATTTTTGCTACTTACCTTATATTCAGATTTCCGAAATATTTTGGAATGGAATTGGAATTAGTTTCCAAGATTGGAATTTTTCCTAATAGTTCGTTGGAATTTACCAAATAAAAAATAGTATCACGCAGCTAAAATATATAAATTGAAAGATATTCAATTCAATATCCAATAAATTATTCAAAAAAAAAAAACAAAAAAAAAAATCTGTCTTGAAAAGCTCTGAACTTCATCATCAAAATAAATAAAATCTCAAGATTTCGAATCAGTAAAATTAGCTGCATAATCAAGAAACTTGAAAACTCTAATAAAATAAAATCAAAAAATTAAGTTTGTTCGATTTCCTTCTTCTCCGATTCTTGAGTGTTTATATCTGCGTCCAATTGCTTGAGAACTTGTTCATCGGCAGTTTTTTCAGCCTGCAACACGGGTGCATAGTAATCGGTATGCGCCTCCATACATTTTTTGAGAGCAGGAAAGCACTTATCAACTATATTCTCTTTCTTCTTCTCTCCTTCATCAACACACTTTTCCCACTCTGTAAATGCTTCTTTTCATGAACAAACAAAACCCACATTCCCCCTCTTCTTCTTCTTCGCCGCCTTCCTCTTTTTTGATTAATTCTTCAAACAACTTTCTCCAAATTTGTCCTGCTTTCTGCTTTATTCTCTTGATCAGATGAATCTCTTAATTGTTTCTTTTGCTATTTGAATTTGTTCTTAAAAAATGCTATACTTTTATCATTTTCGTTAAAACTAATATAATCAAGCATGTGTTCATCACTGCTTTAACTGACGGACTAACGTTAAATTAAATGAAATGAAACAAAAATATTAAATTATTGAAACATGTGGGACCAAATATGAACTCAGTGCAAACTTGAGGGGTGAAAACTATAATTTTCCCTATTCAAATTAGTGTTCCATTAAAAACACTCCTATTCTTTTTTTTTCTTCAATATATATTTATATATATTGCAAGAAACACACTCATAGATAAATGACTACTCCATCAATTTTACACTAACGAAAACAATAATTAAGAATGCCACATGAATAATAATTTTCACCTACTACTAATTAACTACGATAATAATCAATACATAATCCCATAAGACTAATTCTAACAAAATAATTTTCTCAAATCTCGATTGGAGAACGCCACGTCATCCAGGGAGCTGCCCCAATAATCCGCGGCCACGTCATCTTCACGGGCAACCGATCCCCACCATCCACCAACAACAGCATTACCATCATCGGCCGGCGTAAATCTCGGAAACCCTAGGGAATCATCAACAACACCAGGGGTAACGCCGTCGCCGTAGAGCTCCTCCGAAATGTCCATTATGCCCTTGGCCCCACCGCCATCATCCACGTCCTCAACGGCTAGTTCTTCACCGAAAGCTGGGAACGGCGCCGGGGACTGAAGGCTGCTGCCGCCGGCGAAAAAGCAGTTAAGTGTCCCGCCGGTCGTTTCACATTCCCATGCATTGAGTACGTCGAAACACGGCGGCGGCGGTGGAGGTGGTGGTAGAGCTGTGAACTGGCGGCGGACGAGCCTGGCTTCGGCTTCGAGCCGAGCGCTCTCCCACTGAGCCATGTGGCAAAGATTGGCGAAATCTTTTGGTTGAGCACAGCCGAGCCGGTGGTTAATGGGCATATGGGTCACCGGGTCAAGACCCATTTTAATCATTTTCTTTTTCAGATTAGTGTTCCAATGATTCTTTATTTCGTTTCCAGTCCTTTTTGGCAAGTGTGCTGCTATGGCCGACCATCTGTCAAATTAAACATTTTTTTTTTATTATTTTAATTATCATTTCATACACACTTGAAATATATATATATATGAGCGGACAAGATAAAATTGGGACAGGCTAAATATAAATATATGTAAAGAACTAAAAAAAAACACACTCATAGAGAAGAATAAAAACAAGTTCAAAATATAAGTAGAGCTGTTGCTTTCATGAGTACACAAAAACATCAAAATTCAGTAACGATAACTCTTCATATATAGTTACGTCGTTTTCATGCATGGCTGACTTCTGCATGCCCGCAGAGGATAAAACAAATGTGATGATCGATGATGATAACAAGCTACATATATACATAATAATTAATTAATATAATCATATTCATGAGATTATTATTAATTATTGTTAATTAATATAAATATATATACGTGCCTGTTGCCAACAAGGGCATGGAGTTGAATAATGGTGTCTTCTTCTTGTAAGTTGAATTTGCCTCTCTTAATATCAGGCCTCAAGTAATTAGTCCACCTTAATCTGCAGCTTTTCCCACATCTCTTCAGACCTGCAGTACATAATTAATTACAATTTCAATAATTAATTAATTAATTAACTAAATAACCTCGTTTAATTTAAATAATTTCTTTTGTTCCCGAATCGGGTATTATAACAATGTTAAATTAATAATAATTCTCTAAATTTATATGATAGTAACACATATTTCAAGTTCACAAAAACCCCCATACATATATATATATATATATAGAAGAATAAGCGCGCGCGCGCACACACACTGACACACACGTGTATATATAAAAGAGCAATATAATTAATTAGTAGTTTAATTACCAGCTTTAGAAGGAAGAGAAGCCCAGGAACCATGGCCGTGTAGATGAATGTAAGAAAGAAGCTTTTGATCTTCGAGAGGTGACCACGGTCCTTTCTTCAGGACCACGTTATTACATCTTCGTCCTTCGTACCTCTCGTTTTCCATCTTTTTTTATCTATATGTGTGAAAATCAATACTAGCTTAGCTAGTAGTTTGCAATTGTATGAAAAGGTTTCTAGACTGTATGCGCCTGCGTAGAAGAAACAAATTATATATATATCCTCAAATCACGTGAGGTTATAATATTCGCATGCAGAGCTCTCTTTTCTTCAGAATATTATTTTTCTTCTCTAAACTATTAGTCTATTTCATATATTTGAATTCATATATAAATTCTAATTACGAATATATCTTTTGTGTCACAAATTTAAAATTCTTTACTGCCGACAGTAAGCAATTTAGTCCCCGACAAAATGCCTTATCCAGACACCTGAAATTATATACCGGCCTTCTTATTCTAGGCCAATTAAATATCTCGTGATTTTTTTAGTTTTTTTTCACGTGAATTTCACATGCATATGATTAGTTAATTAATTATTATAGTTGAATTTCACAGTTCAACTCTTATTATGTTGGTATGTTATTAAAAAAAAAACCTATGAATTTTCATGTATCTTGAATAATCTTATTATAATAATCTACGGTTTTGGTTGTAATTTAAAACTTTAGTTTTGCCTGCGTAGATGTTAAGTGTATATTTATACACTTAATTGTACCTTTTAATTGGAGCTTTTGGTGTGTTTTAATGATAATTGGTGCTTAAAATGGCTATTATTTGTATTTTAGGTGCAAATTGGAGAATTGACAACTTTTGGGGTGAAAACTGCAATTTCGGAGAAAAAGTGGGCCAAAAGTGAAAAAAGCAGAATTCTGGAGAATTAAAAGACCGCACGGCCGTGCGGATTTTAGTTCTCAATCTCACACGGCCGTCCGGGTGGACGTGAAGGCGCAGTGAAGGAATTTTAATTACACAAGGAAACCCGCCCTATTATATTTTTGCACCATATTTAAAGGCCAAGAGCACACAATTAGATCTATCTTTGACCTTTTATCGTAATTATTAGTTTTTAGTCTTTCATCTTTTCTACAAGCAATCGAGGAGCAAGAGAACGAAGACGAAGACTTGACGAATCTTCATCCTAGTTTTCCTTTTTCCTTTCTTTTCTGATTTTTATGAATTTTCGTATTTTTATTATGCTTTTCGTTACGAACATGAGTAGCTAAGTTTTTATTCTAGGATTTTATTGGAACCCTATGTGGTAATTCGAACCTATTTTTCTATTTTTATGCAAGTTTAATTCTTCGATTATTTCTTCTATCTTGATCGTATTTAGTGCATGAGCGTAGCTAACTTATGTTGCTAGTTGTTATTGTTAGAATTGATTGACAGATCGTTTTAATAATTAGAACAGGGATAGAAGAGCCTTCGAGTAGTTTTTCACCGAATGCGTGTGTTGATTGCATGTATTATCGTAGACATACAGATAATACCTTAGGTAGCTGTTGTCGAGACTTGTTATTTAATGCTTTATTTATACTAGGTTTGCATAGACATATAGTGAATCTTTTATGAATAATAGGTTTATAACGCAGCGACAGCTGGTTATGAATAATTTCGTGTCTTGGGTTAATAATCGGGAATTGTAACTTGCATAATAGGAGATTAATTGGGTGAAGAATTATTGCATAGGGGGTAGATAAAATCCTAGATCCGTTTTATATTGATATTTTCTCGTGTTTATTGCTTTCTTAATTAGTTTAATTTATTTAGTTAATTAAATTGACAACCGTGCGTAGGCTGGATAAAAATCACAATTGTTAGGATTTGGTACTTAGGATTAAATAATTTGCGTATTCCCTGTGGGATCGACATCCGACTCTCACGAGTCTACTTTACTACTTGTTTGCGATACGTACACTTGCGTGTTGGTATTTAGCACCCAACAGTAGATTATAGGATATTTAATTATTTATTATGGATCTCCAATTTTTTCTTAGGCTACAAAATTACAAAAATACCCACACCTATTCGTAATTATCAAAATCCCCCATGTATTTTTCATGAGATTCGATATGTATTTATTATTATATTTTCTACTATTTATATTTATAAAAATAAAAATCTCGAGCTCGTGAAAATATAACAAGAAAAAATAGGGTCGAGCTCGAATTCGATGAGCTAGCTAGCTAGCTCAAGCTATTTACACCCGTATATGTACAGTTGCGAGCGAAGTAATTAATTATATTTCCGCGTATTAATTAACTAACATTCAGAGCCGTATAAAATAGCAGTAAAAACGTTGCTTTCCAAACCTAGTGACAGATAAATATTAAATATTATAATTATTCTGAATTTACTCTTTTTTCACCTCCCAAAGTGCATAAAAATAGATCATGATATTCAATGCATTTTTATATGAAATAAATTGTGTGCAGGGAAGTGCAGTAAATTTTACTTCGGTAAAAACAGAAACAAAAGTCTTATAAGTAAAAGGAAGCAACACGTGAGTTCGTATGAGAGATCAGCTAGCTAGAACTTAGCTTTATAAGATAGTACGTAATGAAAATAATCTATAAAATGCATGCATGCATGCAGGGAAAACCTAACTTTTACTGTGTAAATTATATATGCATGCAGATTGATTACGTGTCTGACATACATACAGAAATTGATGATTACTGATTAGTTTAATTAATTTATCAAAAAAAAATTTAGTTTAATTAATTTATACGTTTTTCCTATTTTACCCATATAGTTGTGCATGCGCCTGAAGTTCGAAACCCGAGTTCTTTGTTCACTGCTATCCCGGCCGATAAAATTCACCGGTTCATACCGTAGGGCTATATATATATATATATACATATTTTTACATTTATATATATATATGATCCATATGTTTAATTTATGTTGACTAAAAGTAAATTTAAAGAAAAATATCTCTAATGTATTTCATCAGATGTAACATCTACGGAATCTTGAGTCCGAGATCGTTTAAATATAATGTTGGGCCTAATTAGTTAGCCCAATAAGTGTTGTCAAGGGTTCACATGGAACTTCGGATTAAGAAAAAAACAAAATAAAAAACAATTTCAGACAAATTACATGCATGCATAGTTAATGTCTGTACGTAGAACATTTATATATAATAATTAAATTAGGTTTCATGTGCTTTCTAACCCTCAAAGGCATGAAAAAAGGATACCAATCTTGTTTCTTCATATAGACAGACAACAATTGACCACCAATTCGTAGTCTTCAATGAGGGCATATATATATATATATATATATATATATATATATATATATATATATATATATATATATATATATATATATATATATATATGTATATATATATTATGTTTAATAATGTGGTAATTAGTGTAAATACATATTTTTCAAATACATATACTTCTGCTCGAATTTATTCATATTTAGTGAGTTCCTTTACAGTTGTATAAAAGGCAGTCATACATTTATTTTAAAGAGACAATTATATATAGGCTCATAGTAGGCTATTTATATATAGTTTCAGACAAAAAACTTATTTACCTAAAAGGATAGATATTAGACTATTTTTTAAATTTTTTTTGGCCTAAAAGTCATTAAAGACAAAAATAACCTCAACTCAAAGTTATTTCAATTTCATCCGTCAATTTCTAGCTAGTTTAACCTAAGTTTCACTTTCACCATCACTGGACAACAAAGTAACATTATATTATCAACTCTAAACATTATAATTATAATTATAATTAATTAATCACCCAAAGTTATCAACAAACATTTGACACATTATTTCTTACAAGCACAAGCACGTTGAATTTAGTGCTAGATTTTCATTACAACAACACAGACGAACCCATCGGCGGCGAACAAGTCGGGAAATCAAGAACGTTGTTCCAACAATTAACATTGCTCTCGTCAAGAACTCCCCAACCTCCTCCGACGACCACATTATTACTATTATTATCATTACCATCGGAATATCCGTTTTGTACCGCGCTAGAAGGAACATCCACAAACCCTTCCACGAAACTCGGAAACCCTAAAAATGAATCACCATTGGTGTAACTACTAGTGGTATAATCATCACTAGTAGGGTTCATAGTGGTGGTTGTGTAATGGAGTTCCATTGAATTCCCCATTATACCCTTGACATTAGGTATTGCATTGATCGATGAATCACCGTTGAATAATCCCACATCCTGGATTTGGACCGTATTTTCGGAGAAGTTTGATGTAGGGGTATTTTGGGTAGGCTGATTAATTATGCTCCAGCTTGAGGGGGAGTAACCGTTGAGTATCATGGTTGAGATGTCTTTGTCGGGGTTAGTCCACGCCCACACTTTGAGTATGTCCAAACACGGCGGCCTCGGCCGCGGCGGCAGTGGCGGAGCGGCGGCGGAGGCCTTGTTGACGAATGAGAGATCGGAGTGGAAAGGGTTGGGGGCGCCACGGAGAACGAGCCTAGCCTCGGCTTCGAGACGAGCGCTCTCCCATTGCGCCATGTGGCTAATGTTGGCGATCTCTTTCGATTGGCCGCAATCGACAGCTACTAGATTCTTCGGCTTATGTGTGATTGGATCAATTCCCATTTTAGTGAGTTTCTTCTTCAAATGAGTGTTCCAATAGTTCTTTATCTCGTTATCTGTCCTCTTTGGCAAGTGAGTTGCTATGGCCGACCACCTGTCAATAGCAAAATTGATTAACAATAAAAAACCGTTATTCATTACATAATTAAATTAATTAATTAATTAATAATAATGTGGATTAAATAATTGAATGATAATATATGGTGAGGTAGTTTGTTGGTCACATGCATTTATTTCTCACGTGGAATGGCATTTATGATATTTTGTGCCCCCACAAGGTAAATGCTAGTAGCCCAGCTAGATAGCTAGAACTAGGGGGGAAATTTTGAAATTAAGTAATTGTACAATTCGTCAGAAATTTACATTTTTTATTTTATTTATTTATTTATTTATTTATGAGAGATATGATGATTGCATATATTCATGCACATCAGAATATCGAACATTGGTATTCATAGTAAAGTCGTTTTCAAGAATAAGATTGCACAGTGCATACATTATATATAGGGTAAATCCCACTTTACCCCCTCGTACTATGCCTAAGAGTCACTTTACCCCCTCGTACTCTCAATTTTATCGATTTATCCCCTTGTATTTGTACAATTTCCCAATACAGCCATTTTCTTCAATTTTTGTCAATTTTGACTCTAACGCCATTTGGTCAACTCTGTAAATTACAAAATTGCCACTGCCTATAACGCGTCGTTTCTCCTCCGTCAATATTGTCATTTCTTCTTCTCCCACCAGTTCCCCTTCCAAGATATCCCCAAATTGAACCCCTAACTTAGTAAAAATCAAGACCCAAAAATTGATCGATTCCACCCAGTGCAAAGAAAAAAATATATGAATGTGTGAAACTTTCTCCTTTCTAATCTCGAGAGTCAAAATCGAAAAAATTCAATATTTACGTCAATATTTTGACTCTTGACCAAATGGCGTCAGAGTCAAAATCGAAAAAAGTTGATGAAGAGGGTTGCATTGGGAAATTGTACAAGTACAAGGGGGTAAATCGACGAAATTAAAAGTACGAGGGGGTAAAGTGGTTCTTGGGCAGAGTACAAGGGGGTAAAGTGGAATTTACCCTTATATATAACCAAATTAGGATGATCTATATATTATTCCCTGTATTAATTAAAATCATTAATAATTAGTGAGAATTCATGTGGAGATTTAATACTTTAATTTGGGTTTTTCTGAATACTATAATATTAATTAAAAGAATTAATAAATGAATTAATTAAATACCTGTTACCAAGAAGGGCATGAAGTTGGATAATGGTCTCCTCTTCTTGTAAGCTGAATTTGCCTCTCTTGATATCAGGTCTCAAGTAATTTGCCCACCTTAATCTGCAGCTTTTCCCACATCTTCGGAGCCCTACGATTAATTAATTAATTAATTAATTAATTAATGTACAACACCAATAAAAGCATTAAAAATAGTTCCATAATTCATTTTAAACAAATAAATTATATTTTGCATTAAAAACCTGCACGAAATTGGAGTGTTTTATATATCTTTTCTTGCACGAAATGATATCTTTGTCCGTTAATCACTAACGTCGTTAACTGTGGAGAGGATTTCATGCAACTGTTTTTGTAAGAGAGGGTGTCATGTGTTTAATTTCTTGCAACAGAAGTGGATTTATGCAATATTAATATGTTCATTTAAAATTCGAAATATTTTTTGAATATCAAGAAGAACAGATTTATTTATTCAATCAAAATATAAAAAGAAAATAGAAAGAGGATGCAAGCTAAGTGATTATTCAAGTTATTTATACTCCTTTTACATATAGATAATACATTAATTCATGATAGATTATATAAATGTATAATAATTTTGAAATTATAAATATATATTTTTTATTTTGTTTTTTTGAAATACATTCATAAATTACAATTGTATCAAAAAATATTTTTTTAAATTTGAAAGTTTCCAATTCTGATGCAATTGTTTTGGGAAATATATGGAATCAAAATTTTGGAAATCGAAATGAAAAAAAAAATCGTTCTAATGAATTGGAAATGGAAAATTTCCGTTCTGACTTTCACCCCTACAAGAAATATAATTTTCATATTAAAACTGAATAAATGTGTTATTTCGACATAATTTAAAAAAAAAATCGAGTCTTAAAATAAATAAATAAATTTTACACAAATCCCTATTGCATGCGTTATAGAAAAAATCTATTCAAAAAAAAAAAAAAAAATTGCATGAAATAACACCCTCCCATAATTAACGGAAAACGGAATTTCGTGCAAGAAAAAGAACACATACATGGAAGTCTGGTGAAGGTTTTCTTAAACCTAATTAATTAAGACAGGTGTTTTTATAAAAATAAATTTAAAAAAAGAAAAAAGAAAAAAAAAATACCAGCTTTAGAAGGAAGTGCACGCCAGCTGCCATGGCCATGTTCATGAATGTAAGCCAATAGCTTTTCGTCTTCTTCAGGAGTCCATGGCCCTTTCTTCAGCCCCATTTTTTCACAGCATGCTGTCCTCCCCATTTCTTTTCTTTCTCCTACTAATTAATTAATTATTTCTTTATTTATTTATTATTTTCTGTTGAAAGACTATGCAACATACATTATTAGACTATATATATATATATACTTATATATATGTGTGTGTGTGTGTGTAAATATGATGAAGAGTTCAATAATGCAGGCTGGTTAACTATTTCACTTTGCCTGAAACAGAAGGTACACTACTAGTTTTTTATACCTGTTTTTTCTTTTTTGCTTTTTTTTTTTTGGTTTTTTTTTTTCAAAATGACAAAATTGTAATATATTATTTTTGCTTTAATTTGGTTATTTCGAGAATCCAAGGATGTTTTTTATTTATATTTATGATAACAGAGACAAGTCTTGTAGACTTGTAGTACGTACGACGCTATCGAATAGTTTATGCATGCCCTCTAGGTATTATCTCGGGGTTCATATACAGTAATCATCATCTTTTTCTTTTTCTCTTTTTTTTTTTTTTTTTATATATTATATTTGATAAGTCCATGAGTTTAATTTTATATAGGCTAAATTACTGGCATACATACCCCTGAGATGAGGTCAAATTACAAAAAAAAACTCTCATGTTTGGGTAATTACAATCTTGGCCTTAAGGATGAATCTTTCTTACACGTCCGTCTTACGGTGTCAAATTCAACATAATCTTTTTGATTCCGTGGAATATTCTCTAGTTTGTACTCGTTTTGTGAAGAAAAAAAATGCAGTTTTAATTTTCAGACACATCTTGTTTCAAAATGTGTAGCTCGAACGGGGTAAAACGGTTACAAACTAGAAAATATAATATTGCACATAATCTCGAAGATTTCACTAAATTTGACACCGCAAGGTGTACATGTAAGAAGATTCATATTAGAGGGGCTGGTTATAATTACCTAAATATGAATTTTTTTCGTAATTTGTAACCTTATCTCAGAAGGTGACCATGATTTAACCTTATATATATAGCAATTGAAATTAATTTATCGGGGCCGGGGGTCTAGCGTTAGCGAATATTCTAGGACCATGTTAATTTCATGTACTATATACGGGACCAATATTAATTACATTCTATTTAATTATTCTTTTCAAATTTTCAACACACATATGAGTGTAAATTGATAACATGCTTGTCGGAGAATGAATTCATATTTAAGTATGTAATTATTCGAAACCAATTTTTGGGTTGGTTTGTACTAATGCAAATAACACTTTATAAAGCACACGGTGATCTTGATGTATATATCTTGTTTTTTAGGACCATTATTTTTCTTCTAATAGTAAAACAATACCTTTGGGACCAAATTAAAATTTCCCCCTTTTTTTTTTAAAAATTATTCATAACTTCATTTAATTAATACAAGTTTTGTCTAGGCTGGATCGCAAGAGTGAACTGATTGGTAGAGTAAGAAAAACACGACGTAAGACAATTCAAGAGTTCGATTACACATGGAACACTTTGGCTTGTGTGGTAGTCTGTTGTACAAAAATGGAGTTTACCCCGTACACATATAACGTAGTTGTAGGTTTGATAAATTGTACGTTTGTGTACATAATTGTAGCTTTTAATATGTAATAATAGACCTAATTGATGAGGTATATTGTTAAAAATGTAAGTAGTTTGGCTACATATGTAGTAAGGAAACATTCTACCTTTGTTCGATGTTCCCATGATAAGTGAGATTTGTTTATAAACGTGACAAAATATCAAAGTGTTGTGGTACCACGAGGAATTTGTTATAATTTGCATTAATCTCGTGTGTTATATATTATATGAACTATTTCCTCAAGAAATTAAGTGCCCGAATTTGTTATCTAATTAATCATGAAGCCCTTTGGTTATGTACTATGACAGATTAATTAAAGGGTAGACCATCTATTTTTAATATATATAATAATATTTTGTTACCTAAATTTTATTAATTAATTACTTCAACTAGCATGATTAGTCACTCTTGTAAATGATTATTATAATATTAAATTGAAGATCAATATATGACATATTAATATCAGTATCTATTAATTAGAACATATTAATTTAAACACTTTAAATATGAGCCATTTTGTGATGACAATTAATAAATCATAAATAAAGATCAATTTGTTGCTCCATACGACAAATTGATTTTTATTTATAATTTACTGTAAATGTTGGAACAAATTATTTTTTTTAGTGATTTATTGTAATTGAAAAGTGGCTTGTAAAATGACATAAATTAATAGTAAACGATGAAAATTTAGAAAATTTTAAAGTAATTAATTGAATAATAAATTATATACTAAAATTGATTAGATATATATTGCCCACTGAACTTTTTTTAGTGAAGTAACCCGCAGTCATATAGGTGCACTGGGTAAACGTATACTCTTGTATAATAATACTCTCTATGTTCCATAATATCTGTCTCTTTTGAGATTTTGTTTTGTTACATATTATCTGTCATTTTACAATTTCAATGCTACATTAATTGCTTATTTTTCAATTTTACACTTATTAACTCTATACCACTCTTCATGCATTAATTAATAAACAAGGGTATTTTGGTTCATCAATATCTATTTTTCTAAAAACAAGACATATTTATTGTGATTCTTAAGATTTGTGCCAAGGTGAAAAACGACACCTATTTAGGAACGGAGGGGGTAGTTAGCTAACAATTGGAGAGAGGTAAACCACATTGGACTAACCATGAGTGACAAGATCGACCTAACGACCGTTAGCAAGAATTCGAACATTGGTCAATTAAAACATGGTCCAGCCGCTAGATCATCTCTTGCAGAGGACATATTGACGTAGTTTACCATTACATTTCGAGTGGTTGAGAGTTGTGTTCTCATGAATACAAATAAAAAAAAATATATAAATAAAAGATAAAAAATAAAATAAAAATAAAGTGGTTCTTTTGTCAACAAAAAGAATAAATAAAAAAAGTTGAAGTTTTATTCATTAATGAAAATAATCCAACCACCTCCGAGACATTGAGTTGATATTAATGGCTTTAAATACACTTAATTATTATTATTATTTGTGTGTGTGTGTGTGTGTGTGTTTTACTAGGTGTAATTAATGATGCTATAAATGCCGTATGTGCATATTAATTAATCTATATGCTTACATTTTGTGTTGGATATTTACTTCTCGTTCAATTGGCATCAATTCTTAACCAGCAAAACTTGCGAAATCTGTCCTTCAACTTTCTGGGTTTTCACGTTTCGTCCTTGGATATATTTTGTTCGCCAATTCGGGTACATTATCTTCACATCCATCCCAAAGTTAGTTCATGCAATTAAGACAATTTAACAGGAATTAAGTTATATATTGTACATTTGTACCCCTCTCTCTCTCTCTCTCTTCCTTCCTTTTTTTTTTTTAGGGTAAATTACAAACACCCCCCTGAGGTATGGTCAAATTACAAAAACACCCCTCTTGTTTGGATAATTACAACCACCCCTTCAAATCCTCAAATTTAGTGGAATCTTCGAGATTATATGGAATATTATCACTTTTGTAGCCGTTTTATCCCATTCAAACTCTACATTATGAAGCAAGATGATCATAATATGTGATTTTTAGCTTGTATATATCAGTTTGTGGTGCATCGGAAACTGTATTTTTACACAAAACGAGTACAAACTAGAGCACATTTCATGAAATCTAGATGATTATGTTGAATTTTGCACCATAAGGGTGGATGTGTAAGAAAAAATCATAGTTTAGGGGG